AATGGATGAACCAATTATTGAATCTTGCATTAAACTCTTTCTGACAAAGAAAGACATGTCAAGTTTAAATTATAATAAAATTCAAAAGATATACGTAATAACTATCTTGTTTCCTCAAAAAAAAAAAATGTAACTATTTTTTTTTTTATTCTGATGAGTTAATCAATCCTGATTTGGGAGGCATTGTTATTTATTTCGTGATTTATCGATCTTGATCATCATAGGGTTTGAAAAGAGCGAGAACCTGGACTGAAGGTCGATAATGGATTTTCACCATGTTTATAAACTTTTTAGCTCCACCTATCACTCGGACTCAAGCGTACAGAAACAAGCCGAATCGCAATTAAAGCAGGTTAATAAAGGGACACGCTTTGTGAATTCATAAGTTATAAAGATTTGATATTCATTTCCTTGCGGACTTCTTAAGGTAGAGGCAACACCGGGCTTCATTTCCGTGCTTCTTCAAATACTCGTTTCTCAAGAGACTGAACTTGCAACGAGTCAAGCGAGTATGTACACGGTTCAACTTGATAAAAGAACTTTACTAAGGGTTTAATGCTCACGAAATTCTATTCTTATATAGTTTCTATTTACCTGAAAAACCGAGTTCGAACCTCGTGGGAATACGAAGACTCTAAGTCATCAAATGTTGTACCCATTGACCCTCAAGATCGTGAACAGTTTAAAGGAAGCATACTACGCGTATTACTAGAAGTACCTAATGCCGTAAGGTAAAACACGGATTAAAATAATGTCGTGATAATGTTGACTTGTGACTAATTTATCCTGTAATTATTAGGGTGCAGCTTATTGACTCGCTGGGTAGAGTCCTTTCCAACGATTATCCCGAAAAATGGCCAGATTTTATGACGCAAGTGAATACTCTCCTATCGTCCAATGATTTAAATTACGTGTATATAGGACTATTGGCTTTACGGCAGGTTGTTAAAGTTTATCAGTAAGTGTCAAGCAAAAAAAACAAACGAACTCGAATCAATAATCATCAATAAAATTATTTTTGTTGATCAAATTGGTTCTGTTTATTAGGTGGAAAGCCAGTGAGAGTAATATACCTCTCTTGGAGATAGTTCAACAAACTTTTCCCATTATTTTGCACATAGCGCAAAATTTACATAGTGAAATTAGTTTGGAAGCTGCTGAAATGCTAAGAATTGTCGTTAAGATTTACAGTTCTGCAACACAAGTAAGAACTGGTAATTTATAATTATCATAAAATTCATTCTTACGTTATTAATGCATCGTTTGTGTCGAACTTTAGTATGAACTTCATAAGCCGCTTCAAGAGGATTCTTCGATTGTACCATGGACCACATTAATGTTGCAATTGTTTGAAAAGCATATTCCTGAAGAGATAATACCCACGGACATCGAAGAGCGGCAAAGATTTATTTGGTTTAAAACCCAGAGATGGGCATGCAAAAATTTGAATAGGATTTTTTCAAGATATGGAAATCCTGCACAACTCGCGACATCATCCACGAAATATAATGCATTCGCGGAAAAATTTGTACATCATTTTGGACCGCAGATTCTTCAGACATATCTGCGTCAAGTTGAGCGTTGGATTAAACGCGAAATATGGCTAAGCGATAAAATTCTTTATTTTTGTTCGGACTTTTTTAAAGACGCGTAAGCTTTGAAGTCATAATGCTAATTAACGAAGCACGAACCACTATGGTTCATGAAATTAACCTGAGATCAAAAACTCATGTAGGATTACCCAAAAAATTACATGGCAAATTATTAAGCCTCACACAGAAACGTTGGTCTCTCAATTCATATTTCCACAATTGTGTTTTTCCGATGAAGATGAAGAATTGTGGGTTGAGGATCCTGTTGAATATATACACAAAAAAATGGATTTCCTGGAGGACTTTACGTCACCATCTGTGGCAGCTGTAACTTTCCTGATGGACCTGGCACGACATAGGAAAAGATATACATTCATGGGAATAATGGGGTTCATCAACACAATACTCACAACTTATATTTCGGCTCCCCCGGAGAATCGAAATCCACGACAGAAAGATGGTGCCCTTAAGATGCTTGGTTGTTTGTCTGACATGGTTCTCCGTAAAAAGTACGGTGTTGCACAACTAATGGAGGCAATTTTTTTGAATCACATTTTTCCCGAGTTTCAAAGTCAATACCCTTATTTGAGAGCAAGAGTAAACAAAAATTTCAACTATGTGTTTTTTTTCATTTCAATATTTTTTATAACTTATTGGGTTTTTCGTGAATTTGTGGTAATCAATAGGCGTGTGACATGCTTGTAAAATTTGACGAATTGGATTTTGATCTTGAGTCCAGTCTCGCCACCGCGTTTCAAGGCGTCATAACTTGTATGAGCGATTCTGAACTCCCGGTTAAAGTTCAAGCGTGCTTGGCCTTGCAATGCTTAATGCGTCACGAATCTGGTAACGTCTGCCTTTCTCACGCTGACCCGTTGAACATTAATGAAATACTTTTCGCTGATTCCTTCTTTATTCGATCTAGTACGCACCGCATTAATACCTAATCTACCAATTATAATGCAAAGTAAGATGAATTTACATTATTTAGTCCTGCTGGTTTTCATGTAAATATCCAACTTTCCAACATTTGTATAAATAGAATTACTTGAACTCACGAATCAGATCGATAGCGACACGCTATCTACTGTGATGGAAGAATTCGTTGAAGTCTTTGCAGAGGAATTGAGCCCTTTCGCTGTTCAATTGTGTGAACAACTGGTACGTCTCATTTGATGAAACGAAAGGGTGTAAGGTCATGATCCAAATTTCAATATTGATATACTTATGTTCTTATAAATATAGAGAGACACTTTCCTTCGGATAATGCAAGACTTCCAGGATGCACCTGCAGAAGACATCGATTCCCCCGAAGATATGGAAATAAGTGAAAAAACAATGGCCGCCACAGGAGTGCTCAAAACCATTACTACACTGATCTTAAATCTAGAGAGTACACCTGAAGTTATGTCTCAATTGGAGAATGTGCTCTTACCGGTTATTAGCTTCACGTTGAAAAATACAATCGCTGGTGAGAAGTAGAAAGAATAATGCGCGTATACATTGCCCTACTCAAAAGTCGTAATTACTGATTTTTGACTAGCGCATTTTCATGTAACCATATTTTAACCCTGACATTTCACTCCGTCATCTTATTCAGAATTGTATGATGATGTTTTTGATATTATTGATAGTTGTACTTTCTCCACCAAACAAATTACCCCCACAATGTGGGGAGTGTTCGAATTGATTTACAATACCTTTAAGGGAGATGGCATTGAATCGGGAATAGATTACATTGAAGGTATATGATGCAAAGCCGGTAATTGTCAATGTAACAGATGCACTTCGATGTAATTATATTTTATTTTATTTAAATTTTCCAGAGATGCTTCCTTCATTGGACAATTTTATATCCTATGGCACCCAAGCGTTTTTGCAAAATGCTAAATTTCCGACAATGATACTCGATATCATAGATACCGTAAGGCTTCTTTTCATTTCATCCATTCCTAAAATATGAATATTTCCTTAACCGGATCCAATTACTATAATAGGTCATGAAAAGCGATCGCCTGGGTGAAAATGATCGCGTTTGTGCTTGCAAGTTAATTGAATCCGTGTTGTTGAATTGTCGCGGATATGTAGACCAGGTATTATTATTATTATATATTGGCTTATTTTAAGCCATGGGATTTGTTCATCTCCGTTTTTTGTTTTTTTTCGTTAGTTCGTCGAACCGTTTCTTGATCTCTCTCTGCATTATTTGTCTGAAGTAAAAAAAATCACGAGTGTCCCTTTCAGGATTCATTGTATCGAAGCCGTAAGTGCATTTTAAATTTGCAATATTCTTTTCCATTGAAAATGTTTTTTTTATTTTATTTGTGATTATCTTATTGAAAAAAATTCCAGGTGATAAATTGCCTCTATTATAACCCACGTATTACTATTCACCATCTCGAAAAGTGCGGAATGACTCAGGCGTTCTTCACGTTATGGTTTGAGAATATTAACAAGTTTTCGCGTGTTCACGACAAAAAACTTGTTATCGTCGCCCTTTGTGCCCTGATTGAAATGCCAATCGAACAGTTACCGCAAACCTTGCAAGCTGGTTGGCCACAGGTATTAGATGGCATCCTGACAGTTTTTAAAACATTGTCAAAGGCTGAAGAGAGTAAGTTCACAACATTCGTCCGAAAACGTTATTGTCCGCTTGATGACATCTTCACATGATCTCGTTTTGCCAACAGATCGACAGCGTATGGAAAAAGCAGGTATGGATGGCGATGATTCTCTGGACGATGATTTTAACTCTTCGGAACTTAATGATGAAGTGGAAGATGACGATCAGGGTGAGTGAGGGATTGAACTTTCATTCTATCGATGGCCTTTTATTGCTTCATTTCATGATAAATCTTTTCAATGGAAGGTGACGAAAATATAATTGATGAAGATACGCAATATTTGGAATATTTAGCGCGAGAGGTAATAGGACATGCGCGCCGTTTATCGCGAAGATAAAAATAATACTTTTTGAATTAATTCGTTTGTGGTAATTTCAGGCTGATAAGAAGAATCGAGGTGAAGAAGAAGAAGAAGAAGAAGAAGTCCTGGAAGAGGAGCTCTTCTTTGAATCACCTTTAGATAAATTAGATGTATACGCAAGATTTCAGGAAACTTTTGTGGGTACGTCGGTTTCTTTTTCAACTACTTTCAGATGCTTCTGCTTTGCTTATTTGGCACATTCGTATTTTGACGACCAATAGGCGTACAACAACATTACCCAACGTCATACTCTCTCCTCACTAAGAATCTCGACCAGGACAAACAAAATTTCATCTTGTCATTATTCGAAAAAGCCGAACGACAAAAAAACCAAGAGAATGGTGAAACATAATATAATAATTAATATCCATTTTTGTGGATTTTTTTTCTTCATAGGATACTTTATCATAATAAGTTTAGTAGTCATTTATAACTTGACAGAAAATCTTCCCTAAATTTACCTTCACCCGATAAAATAATAAAACCGGGAATCCCATTTTTAACGACACATCTTGGATGGGACAATACTTCTTTCAAAGTGCAACTGTTGGCAATTTTCAGTAATTTCGGTTTGACCTCATTACCGGTCGTCAAAATGTACTCGTGATAAACTTGAACGTTGTCGGGCTTATACCTGTGTGAAGCGTCCCAAGGTGCGGGATTTTCGAACATGACGTCGAGATGATCTTGAAACGTGTTTTCTTCATTGAACTCAGCGATGAAATCTGTTTCCTTGTACTCGGGATATAAAAACATCACAGGCCAAACAAGTTGGTTTTCAGAATTCAGATGCACCGAGTGCGGTAATGTCGGGGCGTCATTCGTTGTCACCATAACAATGTTACGTGCCTAACAAAGGGAACAAGAAGAATGAGAAAGAAAGATTCTAAATTTGCGCATATCTTCTGGGATGTTCAAATAAAAATTACAAACTCGTGCACTCCGGGATTTTCAGGCGTTCAGCAGTCCTTAACAGAATATGATAAGATACCTTCAATGCTGTTTCCAAAGCATCTTTCGTTTCTCTTTCTTTTCGCTCTCTCTCTTTGTTTATGCGAATCCTTTGATCCAACAATTCCTTCTTTTTAATACAAGTTTCTTTAAGTTGACGTAAAGCTACATTATTTGGTTCAACCTATAAAACATTAGTTTGATTTCATATTTAGATGTCAAGCGAAATGTACAAATAGGTAAATATAGGTATATCAACATACCTTCAATCCGTGATCACAGCAATCGAGTGCTTCTTCCATTTTGTCAAGTTCGCATAAAGCTTTTGCGGATCGGTAGAATGCCTTAACATTCGTGGAATTCAAGTTGATCACTTTGGCACAATCTGTAAGAACTTTACGAAAATTCCCTATAAAAAAAAAATATATAAATAAAATTGTTTTCTTTGTTAAGTGATTTCTCGAAATCGAACAAGTCGTTGCCCACCTAATTCCAGGTTTACCGCTGCCCGGTTCGCCAGGCAAGCTTCGATAATTTTATTGTCTGAGCAATTGGTCTCCAACGCCTTTGTGTAAAAAACAATCGCATCTTGATATTTCGTTCGACCCTCTTTAAAACATTCATTTCCTTGTCTCTTAAAATTTTCGGCAATTTCTACATGAACAAAGAAAGGTTTATTCTGAGAGAAAGGATAATATAAAAAAAAAAAAAGGATCAATTTACGAACCTTCAGGTGGACCATCAAATAACAAAGATTGCAGAGCCGCAAGAGAATCGTTCTCTTCTTCCGGCAAATTTGACATAAACAAGGGAACCTTATCAATTTCATCGAGGAGAGCACTATCAGGCTTTGGTCTCTCGGGGCCTAGGAGTTTGGACATCTATGAATTCGAATTTGCGCGTGTACGTGATCATCCATCTGATCTGATCTGCATGTTTCTATATTATGTGAATTTTGGCTAAGGGATGGTATGAACTTTCGTTTGCTACACTCTGTGGTCGTCCTTTAAAATTCCATGGATGATGATAATTTTTATGCAAACAATAATAAATTCCTTTTTACTCACCATGACCCTCGACTACTAATTTTCCACGGGGTCATTGGTCTATCCTAAAGGACACAACACATATTGAATGTTCAAATCTTTGGAATTTAGGATTTTACGTGTCGGTTTTCAATTGATCTTTCGCTGAATTAATAAAATTGGTTTTGTTGCATGAGACAAGAGATGAGACGGATGCATTTGTCTTACCAAAAAACGAATAATAACGTTATGATTGTAGACAATGACTCATTGCATCAAGAGGAGTTGAAAAATAAACAAACAATCATCATTGGATTTTTAATGACTTAAGACCAAACAGTTACTTTATATATATGTATTCGATCTTGATCTTTGTTTAATAAAACACTTTATAAAATTGTCTTAAAAGCAAAGCACGCATAATCATACAAACTATTTCTTTAGCATATAACATGAACATTTCTTTTACGTCTGTTACCATCCCGACAACCACGAATTCCGACGATTCACCGAGAAACAGTTCTGATGCCAGCGAAGAAGTCAAAGTCATGGTGCCGCCGTTGAACTTTGCGATGGTAGCCCCGGGCGTCTATCGTTCCGGGCACCCAAACCGTCAGAATTTCCCTTTTCTTAAGAGATTGGAACTAAAAAGCATAATGTCAGTTTTTTTGGTGACCCATGAACGCGCCATTCATTATTTCATTATCTCATGAAAATTGTGCAACAGTTATCTTTCATCAGATGATATTCGCGAAGAATTAGATCAATTCGCGAGAGAGCAGAAAATACAAGTCTTTCACTATAGGATTGATGGGAACAAGGTAATTAATTTTGACTGTCCAATTTGCGAATTCCGCTTATATTTAAAATAAGCATCCCTATGCTCTCTTTCAAATTCACCGTATCCGACTCCCAAGGAACCATTTGTGGAGATTGATGAAAAAAAAATCAGCAACGCTTTGGTAAAAGTGTTGGGTAAAGCATTACTATAATATATGGCATCTTGTTCACTTTTGAAATATTGCTTATCGTTTATTTATCTATTTTTTTTTTTATTTTTTTTTATTTTTTTTAAAAAAAATGAATTTAGACATGAGGAATCATCCAGGTATGATAGAGTCCACAGTCTGTGACTCTTTATTCTAACCGAGATGAATAACTTTTTTTTACCAATTGTAGTGTTGATTCATTGTAACAAGGGAAAGGTGAATGAATCCCTTTGCCATACATTATTCGATCTTTCATATTTTACGCTCATCTTTCAGTTTGATAATGGTAGCACAGAATTGGTTGTCTGGTGGGATGTCTTCGTAAATTGCAGAAATGGTCCATGACCTCGATTTTCGATGAGTACCGACGATTCGCGGGTACAAAAGTCCTACCCGATCAGGAAGTTTAGTGTCCAAAATTATTTCATTGGCAAAACATAATGATGAATTACTCTTTATTGATGATATAAAAATTTTATGTTATTTAGTTCATTGAAATATTCTCTGAACATGTACCCTATGATCCACAATTTAAGCCCACCTGGCTATAACTGGATTCTGTTGAAAAAAGGCACATGAACATCTATTGTTACATATTTTTTAAATATTCCTTTTTGGGGGTAGGTAACAGGTTATTTTTTAAATAGAAATGTCTATGATAATGCAGAGAAAAAAAAAAATTACACTTTAAACCACTTTAAGGTACAAGAATACCAATCGGAATCTATAACATGGTGAGCGAAAAAAAAAAAAGATTAGTTACGAAACTCGAAAAAGCGAAAGTAAAATAAATTAATTAAGACATCGCACCAAAATTATTGCCTGGGTTGCAATGACATCTTCCAGTGTCGTGATACTCTCTTTCTTCAGGGCAATGTGCATATGGTGCATGTCTATATGCTATATCATTAAAGAAATGAACTCTTGATTTCTGCGTAAACAATGCAACCGCTATCGAGTGTACCGGTGCATCGCCCCACCTATACATTTTCATAAGAAAATTTATAAAGTGACAGACAAGTTGAACGAACAAGTGATTAAAACGTGAATGTGCTCAATACCTCTCATAGAAAAATCCACCCGATTTATCAAGGTAATTAAAGAATTCTCGGTAGGGTGAACTTCTCCAAAAATTTAAATCGGCAATTTCGAAATTACTCCAAAAGTGACAGCTGTGGTTGTGAATGAAACACAAGAGTAAATTGATTGATACACATTAACATCTACAATAAACAGGTGCCGTTGATCTCTTACAGATTGTAAGTTTTTCCTCCATCGTCAGATATAAAATCCATGATGTTATCCTTAGAAACATATTGCGGGTGTTCCTTTACAAATTTTTTCACCGTTTTCCAAAGAGTGGGAATGGTAGCTTCAAATTCCAATAGACTTATGGTAAATCCGTATAGCAATTTATTTTTTTGCATAAACAAAAATGGATCATAATCGAGATCGCACATAAAATCCACAGAAGGTTCTAATCTCCAATAATAATCGAATGGTAATAGAAGCGGATGTAGGAAAAAGAATCCTGAATTGAATCTACACATGTGCCTATAAGATTCGGATCCACCATATATGATGCCTTTCGATTCCATCTCTCTTCTCTTCCTTGCTGCTTCTTCTTGATCAATCCACTGCGGATAACTCCACATTTGTTTTGGTATTACACCTTAAAATAAGATATAAATCAATATGTTAGGATGGATGATTGACATCAAAACCCAACGAAAATTCTCTAATGAAGATTACCATATTGCGTTTTTGCTTTGGTCAACGATGATGTGAAAGTTTTGAATTCTTCTGTAAACTCTTCATCATTTAGAAATACGTAGGGGTAATTAAATTTCTTGTTCCACCTGTCTTCGAATTGTCTCATTGAACTTCGAATTTGATACAATTCATTATTCCTGACCAATACTACGATCACCGCGTTTACTCTGGTGATATTTTGATATAAACTTTTATCTTTTCTCGGATCTATCCATTCTTTCGTCAGGAAGACCTCGCGGGATGTATTACCATAGAAGACTTGTGGTGAATACTGTCGCAAGTAGAATAGGGTTGTGAATGCTATGAGTAAAACTAATATCAGGCAACGAAATAGTGGCGAACGAAGAAGGTATCTTCTTGTTATAATATCCATGATTTTCACGCGAGCCAAAAAAAGTAATATATATTTTCATCCAATCGCGATGATTGGGTAGACCAGAAATTTAATTTTTTAAATCCGAAGAACCAATAAAAAAGACCAATACGCTGTTGTGTGATGAAAGATCTTTTGTTCCTCATGTTCCTCATTACAAATATTATGCAAGGTACAATCTCTAAATTTAAAAAATTTAAAAAATGCAATATTATAATTTAATTTATAAAATACTTGATTATAAATAACGAATATTTATAAAATACTTGATTATAAATAACAAGTATTTTTCTTGTTACAGTATATACAGTATGTATATTGAGAACACTAAACTATATTTATATATCACATGTTAATTGGCACATCAACTTATCAGAAATTAGTTATCGTTATATATACATGAGCTGCTAATCTTTTGTTATAATTTCTAAAATGTCGAGCAGTAAATACAACGAGCAAGAAACGTACCTACTTCATTTAAACGCTCTTCACGATCCGTTTCTTTAAATTAAATTTATATAATCTCCTTGTTGTTTAAACCTAGAGCGCAAGAAAATCTCGCTGATGAGGTTTCTGAAGCCAATAACCGTGAAAACGCGTTAACCGAAGATGATATATTTGAAGAATTGGAAAAGGACGACGATTTTGCAGTCGCTAGTTTTCGCGAGCAAAGGATGAAACAGTTGAAACGAGAGTATGTGCATGTCTTTTAAGACATTCGACTTTTTATGAAATTTGTATAATCTCACCCAAGTTTTTAATCTTGATTTGAATAGAATGACGGAACTTCAGGAATTGCATCAGAAGGGTCATGGATCTTACACAGAAATTCCGAACGAGAAAGAAGTAATTGAGATAACCACTAGCACCAAATTATGTGTTGTACATTATTTTCACAAAGAGTTTCGAAGATGTCAAATTATGGATAAACATCTCACGGTTCGTAGGAAATTATGGTTGGACAGATAGATCCATGTCTCTCAGAACAAATAATATCTAACCAGACTAATTTTTATTAGACAATCGCAAACCGACACTTCAAAACCAAATTTGTAAAAATCAATGTCGAAAATGCACCTTTCTTGGTAGAAAAATTAACAATAAAAGTTTTACCGTGTGTGATGTGTCTTGTGGATGGAATTGTCGTTGATAGGTAAGAAGAGAATGTCCTCCTGGGCGTTGGATGGATTTTACACTCAACTACCCATATTTACTTTATTATTTCTAGGATCGTCGGCTTCGAAGAACTCGGGAATACAGATAATTTTACAACAGAAGCTCTTGAATTGCGCTTATCTCGAAGTGGTAAATTTTATTTATTTTTATATTATACTGTAAATATCTTCTACTTCTAATCTTAACTCGATTTCTAACAGGTGTCGTATCACTGCCCGAGGATCCAAAGAAACAAGAGCGCAAAACTATATTAGGATTTTCCGAAGGAAATGAAGACGACGACGATGATTGGGACTAACAAAATAGATTTTTTATTGGAATATAGAGTAATTTAATTGTTTTTAACTTTCGAACATAGGGTTTACGGAATATAGAATCTTGAGATATGAAAATGGCATTTTTTTTACATGCATAATTTACCAATCAAATAATTTGGCATTAAAATTATCTAAGATAAAAAGGTTATACGGGGTTCGCTAATCTATAACCAAACTTTTACTATAAGTAATATATAGTTAATCAATAGCCTATCAAGTTGATTGCTGAAATCTTGAAATTTCATTGGCTGATTTTTTTTTTAAAAAAATTTGATACGTGTTTACTTAAGAGAGGCTGAGATTTTCAAAATTTGCCCTTATAAGGGAATGTAGTAGGATGAACAGACGTTAAATATTGATATATCATCAAGTCTGTTCTAAGTGGCTCTTTTAACAATCGTCGAGGGGTTTCGTTTCAAAAAAATTTATTATATAACTACTATCACTAAAGTGACTTTTCGATAGAATAAATAACCTACCTATAATAATAGAGATTAATGGATCAAGTTAGGCAATATACGTCGAAGGCGGAAGATGTCATTGGTACAATCTCTCAACCGCTGAAACCCTTCATTCCTGCAATCGCTCGTTTCCTCGTTGTGGTAACGTTTTTGGAAGACGCGTTCAGGATATTGTTTCAATGGGAAGATCAATTGTTCTATCTAGAGAGAGTTAGAGGAATTCCATGGGGTGCATCGCACTTTTTTTTGGCGAGTAATATCGTCGTAAGTTAAAAGATTACTGAGAAATTTTTCCGATTAAGACCTAAACAATATCCTTTATAAATTAATGTTCCCAATTTCCGAATTATGTTGCTATTGATAATTGTAGATCATGTTTGTAGGATCTTTCTTAGTCGTTGGGAGAAAATACCCCGAATACGCTGTCGGCGGTCTTTTCCTTGTTGTGGTAGCCCAATCGATTGGCTACGGTCTCTGGAATGAATTCAATTTTCTGTTAAGAAGTTTATCGGTGATTGGTGGCCTATTAATGGTTCTTTCTGACGCGTTTTCCAAAAAGAAATCAGTCTTTCCTGGTCTTCCGCAATTATCCGAAGTAGATCGTAAAACGTACTTCCAACTTTTTGGTCGCGTTTTATTGATCCTATTGTTCATAGGTTTTATTTTCCATGGGGAATGGTCCTACTCTCGAGCTATTGTCTCCCTCATAGGATTTGCTGCTTGCATAATGGTGGTTGTTGGTTTCAAGGCCAAGTGGTCGGCTACATTTTTGGTTCTGTCCCTTTCGGTTTTCAATTTGTTCATCAATAATTTCTGGTCAGTTCATCATGCAAATCCACAACGTGACTTTTTGAAGTATGATTTCTTCCAAACTCTTAGCATTGTTGGCGGATTACTGTTATTGGTGAATATGGGTCCCGGTGGAATTTCCATTGATGAGAAAAAGAAAGAATTTTAATATAACGGGTGCCGTTTACATGGCGTATTCGTTATATTTATGGACAATTTTGACGCATACCATGATATATTCCTACGAATTGTCCGTTAATATTATATTGTGTTCCTATAGCATCACTTTGTGAAAAGAATGAATGAAGGATTGATTCTTCTGTAATAACCCATTTCATTGGGTTACTTGTAGGATCGCTTATTTGATATCAATATTTTATTTGTATAAAAATTTTCATAATTATTATTAGCCTTCAATCTAACCCTAATTTTAAAGAATTAATGTTTATTTTTTTTCAAATATGTATCGTAAAAGAATTTGTTTATACGAGAATGTTCTTTAATTTTATAGATAAAATTATTTCGCTCTCTTTAAACTTCCGAGTGTTAGATAATATATTTGCCATTAGTACAATATCATTGTAGATTTTTCGACAGAATTACTTATTATAGTAAATAATTATATACGTAAAAAAAAATATTTGATCACTTGCGATTAAGAGATACTGTATGTAATGTAATGTTACACGATCAAAATAATTTTTTTCTTAAAAATAATATTGCTATAAATACTTTTGTATTATACAGTAATAATCAAATACGATAATGTTCTATTCCTTTATTAATCATTATTTCAGCCACTTTATTTAAATATTTTATAAAACCAATTGGTAATTGGTCAACAATTTATATTTCCTTGCTTATTTCAATTAATTTCAGAAAAATAATGAAATTTCTATTTTTTTTGAGCATTCAAATTGTTGTTTTTTTTAAAAAAAAAGTAATATCAAAATGTTACTTGATCAATTGATAAAATAAAAAATATACAAATGGAATTTATTTAAGCAAAAAAAAAAAATTTTTTTTTTTTTTTTTTTAATTGCAAATGGATATTAAATGTGGAACCTTTATTAAACACATGTTTATCAGTCATTATTATTTTTTTTTTTTTTACCCACCATCAACTCAGAATCCACCGTGCCACCTTTTAAAGTCCCGGCAATTTATCGAGGTATGTTTTGACAGCCATAGATAATAATCCTAAATACTCGTCTCAGGTCTAAACCTCTAAGTATAGACATTGGAGATGAATAGTTGCTATGTCAAGAGCAGCAGACCATGCTAGTTGCTTTAACAATTTTAGCCTGTAATCACCACTACAGTATTTCAACCATTTAGTTTAGCCACGACTTACTAGGGTTTAGTTAGCAAGATATCATTGGCAAGATGAGGGTACATCAGTACACCAAATCTATTTGGGAATCGGACCTAGCCTCACCCTTCCTAATCTAGCCTAGCAACACATGTAGGGGGTTACGTTTTATGGGGTCATGCAGTTAACCGTCACAAGTGTACCCCTTAGGATAGAATATCCTGTGATACAAGCAACCTCCTGCACCCCGACCGGATCCTCGCTACCATTGGACATGTGAAACTCTTACTGATAATTGTGCGACTAATGGTTTTAGCTATCTGTACCTTTCTTTTCACTTCCGAAAAGATCCCATGAAACTTCTTTCCCCTTTTGAAGGTATTTCCCGGGCAATACTTGATCAGAAAGTTTACCAATCAGATCATCAATCTTTTTTAACCTATGGGGTATAGTCTATACATAAGGCTCCCTGATTGCTGGAACAATCCAAATCGCTCTCTATCACGAGTTACAGGAGCAGTGACACAAAGTTCTTTTGGGATATGTGAATTGTCTCCCAGCTGAAGTTGAACCGTGGGTCATGGGTTAGCCCTATCCTGCCTTAGCCCACTGGATTATAACTGGGTAGATCATGTTTATCAGTTATTATATTAACAATCTTTATACATATATATATAAATTAATTATAGCTTATTATGATTTTTATTCAAATATCAACTTATATCTTATGGATATATCCATATTCAGGTTTAATTGAAAAATAGGGTATAAGTAATTTGGTATGATAAGGAAATTGGATTTTAAATATATTGGGCCTGGAAACCAGTTTGTTATTGTAATATGGCCTGTGGGTCTTTTTCACATTAGGGATCTTGATCCCAATATGGCATAATTATCTTGTACTGATTTTTTGGAAGGAATAAGCTAACTGTAGTTTTTGATATA